GCCCTATGGTGTTGGACAAGCAAATGGCCCTCTTTCTGTCTATACACAGCTCTCTGTATCTCTTTGTACCTTTACACTAACTGTCCCCTTCATGTGAGATGTACTTCTTCATCTCTGCCTCTTAGAATAGCTAATTTTTAAAAAATAGCTAATTTTCTCCAAAATTCAGTCTACATGAAGGTTTTTCCTGATGTCCTCAACTGCTAATGCCATCCCCAGGAGAATTACTTTGTCCTTACTTTATATATACTTATGTGTGTACACATTGTCTCTCCAGATAGAAAAATGAAAGCTCCCAAAAGACAAGGGCTGCTGTTTGTTTATTGTTCTATTTATATCCTTAGCACCTAACATGGTCAGTGTAGGGCACAAAGTGGTCACTTAATAAATGCTGACTGCTTGACATAAAGGCCTTACTATTGCTATGGCCCTACCTTAATCAGGAACATGTGTACTCTCAGAGCTTGTTCTCTTTTTCTTTACACCAGATCCAGTCCTGGGACAACTTTTCTTCTGACTGGTCATCATTCCCCTTTCTCCTCCTGTGTTGGCTAATAACTTCACCTAGGTAGAAGGGAGTCTGTCTTAAAAATCTAATCTTGGGAGACCAAGGAAAAGGAACTCACACAAAAATTTCATTTACAAGTAAGTGGTTCTTTAGTTTCAGCCCTAGGAGACAAAATGAACAATGAAAACCCCAGACTCGGGGGAAAGTGTGCCCATCTGAGCCACAGAGGTATTTCCTATCTGCCTCAAGGGTATATAGCACCCTTACCATACTAAACAAATTAGGATTTCTACCCCTCTCCAGTGGCTAGGTGCATTGAGAGGGGAATTACCCCATTTTCCTAGGATGGGGCTATTGGGAGAGTTCATCTCATTAAATGGAGGCAGTTGGCAGCCAAACTATCCTCTTAATGATTATCCTCTTAATATAGATCCGAGATGTTATTTCTGACCTTAATAAGATCCACTTTTTACTCTTCCCCTCATCTTCTCTGACCCTGACCCAGCCTATTTACACATACACATGCTGTTGTTCAGTTGTTTTCAGTCATGTCTGAAAAGTTTTTATTCAGGGATCATGTATTTTCAAAGCAGCTATAAAATATGCTATCCTGGTCACTCAAAATTTTTTAATCAAAAAGGTATAAAAATATCATTTATCATATCCTTCCAGATGAACAGATCATTTTTATGTGTTGGACACTTTAAATGTCTTTCAGACATTAGAATACCACTATGCAAATTTCAAACTATTTTAAGTGAAATGGTATCCCAATGGTCTGAAAGAGGAAAATTTCTCCCAAATTACATTTCACCCAGTGCGTTTACACTCAGAGTATTTTATTCACCCAAACAGATCAGACCAATATTTGTCAATCTGCTGAACCATCCAGTTATCCAACTTGTCTTTGATTGCAGCTCTATGACATTAGGAATTTCCAACTTGTCCAATTCTAACAATAAGAATGATTCCAACTGGGTTCATTTTCAAAGACCTTGTGGTTCTTTAATAGATACAGTAGTAATAAGGGGAAAATATGGAAAGCAAAGAGCATGATGGAGGTAAAGTGCTTACTTAACTTAGGCTTGATATTCAGCTGTTTTCCATTATGATGTATTATAATGATGCCATAGCAACAAAGTATTTAAAGTCTGACCCAGTCTGTATCACTCACCATTTTTCTTGGTAAAGGAGAAGACAACTGTTTATTTCTTGAATACTTTCAAGTAGGTAAAGCTTCATGTTTTATATGAAATGACATATTTCATTTTACCAGTGATTATTCAGTAGGTAACCCTAAAAGTAAGGTCAATCCTCAGTAGGGGTATAAAGCTGTGGGGGTTTTGCCCTGAAGAAGACAAAACAACCAGTGATGATTTGCTATCTTGCAGATCAAATCCCAGACTTAAAACTGGTATTAACCTTGTAAACTTTCTTACAGGTATCCAGTATACTTAGAACTGAAAGATACTTGAAATTATCCCAACCAGTTTCTTTCTTCTTTTGGAGCATTTTTACTCAAATTATGGCCTATGAAAAGGTTGTATTGATTAAAATTTATATTTTTTCCTTTACTCTTTCTTGATACATACAGGTGCAGTGAATTGTTGAAATGTGCTGGGTAAGGGAAACATATACATATAGGCATATATGTAGGCATATAATACAAACACATATTGTTAAGGTTATATTGTTCTAACTTGAAAATTCTCTGACCAGGCATTGTTTGTGGGCAAGAACCTTATCTTGGACTTTTTCTTATATCTACTCAGTATCAAGCATAGCTCTTGGCAAAATAGTAGACAGTTAGTACTTGTCGGTCTCCCATACTTTCATCTGTATATTTCAGCCAAATAAATATATGGTCCTTCTAACTAGCTCATATACTTTGATGTGTAGTTCTCTGGAAAACTACAAAGTCCTAGAGAATAATATCCTGGGCACTTGAAGTGACTAATTCTGAAATTGTCATTTTAAATCACTGGGACAATGATCACTCTCTTAGTGTAGACTAAAGGAAAAAATAAAATGGACATCTTGTCAGAAACATGTCCAAGATTACAGCACTTTAAAAAGCATATTTTTAGAGTTTAAACTAGATTTTCTTTTAAAAATTATTTCTTTTAAATAGGTCAAAGCTCAGAGCTATGTCTTACTAATTTTGATAAGTAAGGCTCATAGAAAGGAAACACTGCCCTTTGGTGATTCAGGAGTTGGAGGAAAATGGAAGGAAATTATCTTGAATACAGGTCCCTGTCAAATTTGCCATTTTATAGATTTGGCTTTGCAAGGTTAGCCCTTAAGAAGAGGAGTTTTTAAGCTACTATGACTTCAAATAGCCTCACCAAGTGGACTATTCCAATAGCTTCCTAACAGATTTTCCTACTTCTGTCCTTTCTGTCCTTTCCCCCACTCCAATCCATCCTCCACACTGTTGCCGACTAATCCAAAGTGACTTTCAGAGGATCTATTCAGGAATGTTTGCTTTCATTCAGAAGAAACCCTAGAGATAATCTGGTACAACTTCCTTTTAAAAAAAAAAACAAAACTTGGGGCAGCTAGGTAGCACAGTGGATAGAGCACCGGCCCTGGAGTCAGGAGGACCTTAGTTCAATTCTGGCCTCAGACACATAACACTTACTACCTGTGTGACCCTGGGCAAGTCACTTAACCCCAATTGCTCCCCTATACAAGGAATAGAAAAATAGACTACTAGTATATGAAAGTGGACTTATGCAAATTTATAATCAATACTAGAAAAGCAACTAATATTAGATGGTATTTAAGCAGTTGTATCACCTTTATATCTGAAGGATGGCTTATAAAAATGCTCTACATTTGCATAGCACTTTAAAACTTGATAAGGTTCTTTCATATATGTTTTGTCATTTCATCTTCCCAATAACCTTATAATATAGGTAAAGAAAATATTATTCTCATTCTATAGAGAGGGAAACTGAGACACAGGTTAATGCATTGCCTAAAGTCACATTGTGAATCAACGGAGAAGTCAGGCCATGGAGCCATGTCATCCAGTGCAGTACTGCTTCTACATCAGGCCCGAGTCACTGCAGGATGGAAATTTGTCCTTTCCTATTTTATAACACTATATATTGTCAAGTCTTTTGTCAGAGAGATGCAATGTGATCCTATAGAATAGGAAATTCCAGAGGTAGAAGGAAGCCTAGTTATTACATGGTCCAGCCACATTTTAACATTAAATTTAAGGCAGCACTTTTTTCTCTTGTACAGGAGAATTATTAGTGTTGAGAGAGACAGGTATTTATTTAAAGTTGTTTTCCTCAAAAGAATAATAATGTTTATAAGGGAACCATTTTGTTTCATCTGGTGGAAAGATTCACAAGGCAGTCAGAAGCTTAGGCTCAACTCCCAACTCTTGTACTTTACCTCTGTGAATTTTGGGAAATTAGATATCTACTCATGAGGTCTCAGTTTTCTCCTTTTACAAAACATACCAAAAAAGTCGGCCTCAATGACTTATATCCCTTCTAGCTTTTAAGCCCATGATCCCATGAAATTCATCACAACCTTTTTGTAACTGTCAGTTCCTTAAAATGTTATGTATTTGAGGTCATAAAAATCATTTTAATTTGTAATCTCATGGGGTAGGAACTTCCTCTACTCACATGCAAATTACAAGGCATTCATAATTTAGTCTTAGTTGTCTGAGAATCAGAGATGATAAGTGGCTTGCTCATGGTCACAAAGCCTGTCAAAGGCATGGTCAAGGGCCCATCAAAGGCAAATGTGAAGGGCAGGATTTGAACCTAGTTCTTCTGATTCTAAGTCTAGCATTCTATTCACCCACTATACTCTACACTCTCTACTTATAATCTAAGAGTTCTATAGTTCTTTAGAAAAACCTATTAAATTTTGTTTTGGTCTATAACATCCCTGAAAGAGAGTACCTCCAATTTTTAAATGAATTTTAGACTTTGGAACTAGATGGAAATCTTTAGAGGCAATCTAATTTAACCTGTTCACTTTATAAAAACAAAAACAATGAAACAAATGAACAAAAAAACCCAAAAACTGAGGCCCAGAGAAGTTAAGTGACTTTTCTAGGTCACATAGTTAATTAGTGGCACAGCTGGGATTTAGACTCGGGTATCTTAAATTCTCTTTTCATTATATTATGCTGCTAGAAACAGGAACATGAAGGGGAAAAAGGCTTAAAGTCATAGCAATAGTAGGCATCTCTGTCAGAACTATAATGCCTTTAGCGCTTGATTCTTATGGCAATTATATTTTCTACATAAATGTTCATTCTCCGTTCTCTGCTCTCTCTGAAACATACTTCTCTACTATGTTAAGTTTTATATTGTGACATTATAATATATAGTTTCTACAAATATATTAAGTACCTATGTTGATGGCTTACTAAAGCACAATAGTTATTTAGGTAAATAGAAAAATGTGGGTGGTCTTTTGCCTGTTTCTCCTTCCTAATCAATGTCCTATTTTTTAATAGGAAGGGAAGCCGCTATTTGGAAAACAATTCCAAAGAAATTCTGTCCCTGACTAAGCAGATAGATATCCTGAAGGCTTTACTCAAAGATATAAAAGACAAACTGGACAACGACATTCTGAATGCTAATGCAGACATCTTTGGAAAACCAGAAATCTCAGATGTTACCGATGAAGGAAGAAAGGATTTAGAGGCATTTGGGGTTCTGTTTTTTATATTTTTAATGAATTCTGTGCATGAAATAGTTGTGTTGATGCCTGATCAGGTTTGTCTTTTCCCCCATTTCCTCCCTAATTTAGCACTGGCAAAAGCTATGCCTTTAACTCTAGAACTAGCTTACTTTTCTCACCTTCTCAAGATTTGGTGAGGCTGACTTCTCACCTAGATAAATGGTTAATTTTATTTTGTTTTTAATCCAGGTAAAGAACTAACAATTTAAAGCTGGCAGGTTTTTACTAGGTCCATTTCTAAGAGACATACAGAGACACACTTGTTCCAATCAGTAGAAGCTCTGGGAAAAATACTGTATTAGATAAGCATTTTTTTTAGCGGTTCTGCCTCATTCCTTCTCCAAAATACCCAATAATTTCATGTTGGGGACCTTCAACCCATAGCTTCCCTCTTCTTATCTTTTCCTCACCCCATTTCCACATTTCATTCAGGATTGTAGTTACCTAGCAATTCTACATGCTCGTTTCATGTATACTTTAGCTAACAATGCAAATTGATAAACTAATGATTAATGACTATTCAAAGATGAGTGTGTTATACCCTCCCAAGAGTAGTAGTATTTCAGTAATGTCCTATAAAAAAATGACAAGCAGGATGATTTCAGAAAAACTTGGAAAGACTTACATGAATTGATACAAAGTGAAGTGAGTAGCACCAGAGAACATTGTACATAGTAACAGCAATATTGTACGATGGAGACCTCTGAATGACAACTATTCTCAGCAGTACAGTGATCCAAGACAATCCCAAAGGACTCATGATAAAAAATGCTATCTGCCTCCAGAGATACTAGATGCAGTGTATCAAAAAGATACTGGATGAATCACTGAGCAAGGAAGATGAATGATAGACTATTTGGCTTCTAGATTAGCACCCATGGAACCCACAAAATTGAATGAACCAGTAATTTAGCCATTCATACAAATTAACCATTGTATAGGCTCATCATTAGGGTCTATATCTGTTTTCATGCCACATGCAAACAATTAAACAATGACAGCTAAATGAAAATGAAAGAGGCCACTATCTTCTCTTCCTAGATCCCATCTTGTTACAAAAATATTCAAGGTTTTGTAAAGAATCATAGAAATTCAGAGCTGGACTTTTTTCCACTTCCAGGAGCCAAGATGGTGGAGTGAAAAGGTAGTCGCTCTCACTCTCCCCTATCAACCTCTGAAAACCCAGAAAATATCACCCCAGAAAAAAACTCCTGGAACACCTGAACTAGAAGAAAGACGAGGAGCAGCAGTACAGCAGCCCAGCAAATGGGTCTCCCAGTGCCTCAGCAAAAATAAGGGAGGCAGAACTACAGGGGGCCCCGGGCAGACAAGTACCCTGCGGCATTCATCTGAAAGGAGGTGAAGAAAACAACCTAAATGCTTCCTAAAGCCCTGGCTTTGCTGATTCCAACCCAACACCAGGTGAGCTGTAGGAGCCCTGAGCCTCCAATTGTGAAGAAATCCTGAAGCCCAGGTGGTAGAGCAGGCAAACACCAACACCTGGACCTCCGAGTGGGGGGGGGGAACCGTGGAAACCAGCTCAGAAAACCACCAGGTGCCTCCGCACTCTACCACAAAGGAATCTCCCAGTGCATTAGCAGAAACGAGGGAGACAACACTGCAGGGGGCCCCAGGCAGATAAACACCCTGCAGCACCCATCTAAAAGGAGCTGAAGAAAGCTAAAGGAAAGGAAAAGCAGGCAACCTAGAATTGCCTGAAAGTTCCAGCCTTGCTGATTCCAGCCCAACAAGGTAAGCTGCCAGAAACCTACAGCCTCCAATTCCCATAAGAGGCCCAGCACAAAGCCAGTGACCAAGACCTAGGCTCCCAACACAAGAAGCTTGGGTCAGTACCCTCTGTTCCCCAGCAGGAGAGCTCAATCTCTTTAAAGGCCAGGGAATAAAGAAACACCATGAGTAAAAAGAAACGTACCATAGATTCATATTATGAGAAGAGTGAAGATCAAGACAGAAATTCTGAAGAGGACAACATTGTCAACAAACCCACATCTGCAACAACAAAAGGGAATATGAACTGGTCTGAAGCCCAAAAAGCCTTCTTAGAAGAGCTCAAGAAGGATTTTAATAGTCAAATGAGAGAGGTAGAAGAGTCCTTCAAAAATACAATTGGCCAATTGGAAAAAAAATACACTGAAGAAAACAAGTCCCTAAAAAACACAATTGGCCAATTGAAGAAGGAAGTACAAAAACTAACAGAAGAAAACAATCTGTTAAAAACTAGAATTGGACAAATGGAAACTAATGTCTCTATGAGAGAGCAAGAATCAGTCAAACAGAAACAAAAAAATGAAAAAATAGATGAAAATGTAAAATACCTCATCAGTAAAACAACGACTGGAAAATCACTCAGGAGAGACAATTTAAAAATTATTGGACTACCTGAAAATCATGATGAAAAAAGAGCCTGGACAGTATCTTTCAGGAAATCATAAAGGAAAACTGCCCAGAAGTCCTAGAACCAGAAGGGAAAATAACCATAGAAAGAATCCACCATCACCACCTGAAAGAGATCCCAAATTGACAACACCAAGGAATATAATAGCAAAATTCCAAAACTACCAGATGAAAGCGAAGGTGCTGCAAGCAGCCAGAAAGAAACAATTTAAATATCATGGAACCACAGTCAGGATTACACAGGACCTTGCAGCTTCTACATTAAAAGACGCAGGGCATGGAACATGATATTCCATAAGGCAAAGGAGCTTGGAATGCAGCCAAGGATCAATTACCCAGCAAAAATGAGCATCATTTTTCAAGGGAGGAGGTGGATATTCAAAAATAGGAGACTTCCAAACTTTCCTGATAAAAAGACCAGAGCTCAACAAAAAATTTGATCTTCAAGTACAGGACTCAAGAAGGACTTAAAAAGGTAAATGGGACAGAAGATACAATATGTTGTTAATAAGGGGAGGAGGGGGCTGTTTAAACCCCTACAAGGGAATATGAGACTTGCAACCCTTGAGAACTGTATTGTTATTACACCTTGTTAAAGGAGTATACATAAAGAGGGTGGATATTAGTTGACTTTGATGTAATGATAAAAAAAAATCTAATCAAGTGGGTTAAATGGATCCAAATAAGTGGATCAATCTGATCTTAGAAAATGTACTGAGAAAGGAGGAGGCAGACAAGGGTAAATTACATTACAGGAAAAGACACAAAATCCTATTACAGCAGAGGGAAAGAAGGGAGGGGGAGCATTGTTTGAACCTTACTCTCATCAGATTTGGCTCAAGAAGGGCATAATATAATCAGTTAGGTATAGAAATCTAACTTGCCCTATAGGCAGTAGGAGGGAAAGGGGAAAGAAAAGGGAGGGGGGAAAGAAGGGAGGGAAGCACAGTAAGACTAAAGGGGAAGAAAAGGGAAAGGGATAATAAAAGGGGGAGGGACTGAAGGAGGTGTGGTCAAAAGCAAAACACTAGTGAAGGGGGAAAGGAAAAAGGAGAAAGAAAAGCATAAATGGGGGGAAAGGATGGAGAAAAAGACACAGATAGTAATCATAACTGTGAATGTGAAGGGGATGAACTCTCCCATAAAACGGAAACGGATTGCAGAATGGATTAAAAACCATAATCCTACAATATGTTGTTTACAGGAAACACATTTGAAAAAGAGTGACACATACAGGGTAAAGGTAAAAGGCTGGAGCAGAATATATTATGTGTCAGCTGAAGTAAAAAAAGCAGGGGTAGCAATCCTGATCTCAGACAAAGCAAAAGCAAAAATAGATCTAATCAAAAGAGATAAGGAAGGAAACTACATCCTGCTAAAAGGCACCATAGACAATGAAGTAATATCATTATTAAACATATACACACCAAATGGTATAGCATCCAAATTCTTACAGGAGAAGTTCAGGGAGTTACAGGAAGAAATAGACAGCAAAACCATCCTAGTGGGGCACCTGAACCTCCCCTTCTCTGCACTAGATAAGTCTAATCACAAAATAAACAAGAAGTTAAGGAGGTGAAGAGAACATTAGAAAAGTTAGGTATGATAGATCTCTGGAGAAAACTGAATGGGGATGGAAAGGAATACACTTTTTTCTCAGCTGTACATGGCACATACACAAAAATTGACCATGTACTAGGGCATAAAAACCTCACAGTCCAATGCAGAAAGGCAGAAATATTAAATGCATCCTTTTCAGATCATGCAATAAAAATTATATGTAATAAAGGGCCATGGAAAGATAGACTAAAAATAATTGGAAACTAAATAATCTAATCCTAAAAAATGATTGGGTCAAACAACAAATCATAGAAACAATCAATAATTTCATTCAAGAGAATGACAATAATGAGACAACATACCAAAACCTATGGGATGCAGCAAAGCAGTTCTTAGGGGAAGTTTTATATCTCTAAATGCTTACATAAATAAAATAGAAAAAGAGGAGATTAATGAATTGGGCATACAACTAAAAAAACTAGAAAAAGAACAAATTAAAAATCCTCAACTAAACACCAAATTAGAAATATTGAAAACCAAAGGAAAAATTAATAAAATTGAAATTAAGAAAACTATTGAACTAATAAATAAAACTAAGAGCTGGTTTTATGAAAAAACCAATAAAATAGATAAGCCTTTGGTTAATTTAATTAAAAAAAGAAAGAAGAAAACCAAATTACTAGTATCAAGAATGAAAAGGGTGAAGCTACCACCAAGGAAGAGGAAATTAAAACAATAATTAGGAATTATTTTGCCCAACTATATGCCAACAAATTTGACAATCTTAGTGAAATGGGTACACATTTACAAAAATATAAATTGCCCAGATTAACCAACGAGGAAGTAAAATACTTAAATAACCCCATCTCAGAAAAAGAAATTGAACAAGCCATTGATGAACTACCTAGGAAAAAATCTCCAGGGCCAGATGGATTTACATGTGAATTCTATCAAACATTTAAAGAACAATTAATTCCAATACTATATAGACTATTTGGGAAAATAGGTGAAGAAGGAGTCTTACCAAATTCTTTTTATGATACAAATATGGTGTTGATACCTAAACCAGGAAGAGTCAAAATAGAGAAAGAAAATTATAGACCGATTTCTCTAATGAATATAGATGCAAAAATTTTTAACAAAAATACTAGCAAGTAGATTGCAGCAACATATCACAAGAATAATACACTATGACCAGGTAGGATTTATACCAGGAATGCAGGGTTGGTTCAATATTAGGAAAACTATCAGCATCATTGATCATCTCAATAGATATAGAAAAAACTTTTGATAAAATACAACACCCATTCCTATTAAAAACTCTAGAAAGCATAGGTATAAATGGAGTCTTAAAATAATAAATAGCATATATCTAAAACGTTCAGCAAGCATTATATGTAATGGGGACAGGCTAGAAGCATTTCCAGTAAGATCAGGGGTGAAACAAGGATGTCCATTATCACCACTGTTATTCAATATTGTACTGGAAACCTTAGCTTTAGCAATAAGAGAAGAAAAAGAAATTGAAGGCATTAGAATAGGCAAAGAAGAAACAAAGCTATCACTCTTTGCAGATGACATGATGATATACTTAGAGCATCCTAGAGAATCAAGTAAAAAACTACTTGAAATAATAAACAACTTTAGCAAAATTGCAGGCTATAAAATAAATCCACATAAATCATCAGCATTTCTATATATTACCAACAGAGCCTAACAGCAAGAGATAGAAAGAGAAATCCCATTTAAACTTATTGTAGACATTATAAAATATTTAGGAGTCTACCTCCTGAAACAAACCCAGGAACTCTATGAACACAATTACAAAACACTTTTCACACAAATAAAATCAGATCTAAATTAACTGGAAAAACATCAGTTGCTCATGGGTGGGCCAAGCTAATATAATAAAAATGACAATCCTACCTAAGCTAATTTACTTATTCAGTGCCATACCAATTAAACTACCAAAAAATTATTTTATAGAGTTAGAAAAAATAATAACAAGATTCATTTGGAAAAACAAAAGGTCCAGAATATCAAAGGAACTAATGAAAAGAAATGCAGGGGAAGGTGGCCTAGCAATTCCAGATCTTAAATTGTATTATAAAGCAGCAATCGTCAAAACTGCTTGGTACTGGCTAAGAAATAGGGAGGTGGATCGCTGGAATAGGTTTAAATATGCAAGACACAGTAGTCAATAACTATAGTAATCTATTATTTGATAAACCCAAAGACCCCAGCTTCTGGGGATAAGAACGCACTTTTTGAAAAAACTGCTGGGAAAACTGGAAAAGAGTATGGCAGAAACTAGGCATAGATCCAAATCTCACACCATATACCAAAATAAAATCAGAATGGGTTCATGACTTAGATATAAAGGCTGATACCATAAGTAAACTGGGAGAACAAGGAATAGTTTACCTATCAGATCTATGGAGAACAGAAGAATTCATGACCAAACAGGAGATAGAGAACATTATGAAAAGCAAAATGGATAATTTTGATTACATTAAATTGAAAAGTTTTTGCACAAACAAAGCCAATGCAACTAAGATTAGAAGGAAGGTAGAAAATTGGGAAAGAATTTTTACAACTAGTCTCTCTGATAAAGGCCTCATTTCTAAAATATATAGAGAATTAAGACAAATTTGTAAGAACACAAGCCGTTCCCCAATTGATAAATGGTCAAAGGATGTGAACAGACAGTTCTCAGATGAAGAAATTAAAGCCATCTATAGTCATATGAAAAAATGCTCTAAATCGTTATTGATTAGAGAAATGCAAATCAAAACAACTCTGAGGTACCACATCACACCTATCAGATTGGCCAACATGACAGAACAGGAAAATGATAAATGTTGGAGAAGATGTGGGAAAATTGGAACACTAATACATTGTTGGTGGAGTTGGGAAATGATCCAACCATTTTGGAGAACAATTTGGAACTATGCCCAAAGGGCTACCAAAATGTGCATACCCTTTGATCCAGCAATAACACTTCTAGGGCTCTATCCCAAAGAGATCAAACAAATGGGAAAAGGACCCACATGCACAAAAATATTCATAGCAGCTCTTTTTGTGGTGGCAAAGAATTGGAAATTGAGAGGATGCCCATCAATTGGGGAATGGCTGAGCAAGTTGTGGTATATGAATGTAATGGAATACTATTGTGCTATAAGAAATGAGGAACAGGCTGACTTCAGAAAAGCCTGGAAAGACCTATATAGTTTGATGCTGAGTGAAGTGAGCAGAACCAAGAGGAGTTTGTACACAATAACAGCCACATTATGCAATGACTAAGAATGTTAAACTGAACCCTTCTCAGCATTACGAGGATCTAAGACATCTCCAGAGGCCTCAGGATGGAAAATGTTGTCCACATCCAAAGAAAGAACTATGGAAGTCCCAATCGCTCTCACTTATTTTTACCTTCAGTTGAGTTTTGTTTCATCTTTCTGATGGTTCCTCCTATTGGTTTTAATTTTTACTTACAACTTCACTAATGTGAAAATATGTTTAATGGGTATGTAAATGTAAAGCCTATATCAGATTGTGCGCCATCTTGGGGAGGATGGGGGGAGGAAGGGGAAGAAAAATTTTCAACTCAAAAGCATATGGAATATGGAATCAAAATAAATTAATAAAAAAAAAGACTGAAAAAAAAAGAAATTCAGAGCTGGAAAGGGTTATCAGAAAGCCTTTGGTCCAATCCACTTGATTTTACAGATGAGGAAATAGAGACCCAGAGCTTTCTTCAAAGTGACATGGCTAACTAGTGGCTGTAATCTAAAGTCCCTGATTTCTAGCATACTGTTTTTTCCATTGAGAAAAACAAAGCATTGATTTTATATTTTATTTCATTCTGAAATTGATTTTGTTCTGTAACCACCTAAATCATGGTTCTTTGTCTCTAAACTTAGCTCAGGAATTCCATTGGTCTATAAGGAAGCTAAGTTTGGAAACCAAGTTCTCTTGTTAATCACTGTTTTGTTCTTGACTTAAGGAAATCTGTTATGAGGGATGGAGGTGGACCATAGAGTCTGGTCTTGTATCTTATACCATCAAGCTGTCCTTCAAAGATATCTAGTTTGTTATTCAAAGAAGTCTGGCCTGCTCTCTTACCATGGAATCAAACAATGAATACTCAGTCACAGGAGGGAAGGCAGGGGTTATCACTAGTTTCTAAATTCCCAACTTCAGATCAATAATATTGTTCCCCTTGCTTTAGCTATGTAACAGTCATGTTGTCCACAACCACATGATATCACCTTGTCTATTCTGTTCTTTGTTCTAACCTTACAAAAATTAGTTAAATATTCATCTCAGGTATTTGGTATAAATTGAGGCAAGTCATTGCCCCTTTATTATTGATTTGGCCCTATTGATAAACTGTTATCTTGTTTGAAGAGAATGTGCCTCAATCTACCTTTGGGGATTTTTTACTCATGATACCATTATCCTGTGTTTCCCCCAAACCCCCCAGTAGTTTTTTAAAATAATATTTTATTTTCCCCCAATTACATGTAAAAACAATTTTTAACATTTTTTAAAAAGTTTTGAACAAGTTGTCTATTCCTCCCTCTCTCCCATCCACCTCTCTGAGATGCTCAGCAATTGGATATAGGTTACACATGACCAGTCATGTAAACATTTTCATATTAATCATTTTATGCAAGAAGATTCAAATAAGAAAGAAAGAAGGAAGGAAGGAAAGAATGGAGGAAAGAAAGTGGGAAATAGTATGCTTCAGTTTGTTTTCAGACATCAGTTCTTTCTCTGGAGGCAGATAGCATTTTTCATCATGAGTCCTTTGGGATTGTCTTGTGCTCAGAACAGCTGTCATTCATATGTCTTCATCATACAATATTGCTGTTACTGTGTACAGTGTTCTCCTGGTGCTACTCACTTCACTTTGTATCAATTCATCTAAGTCCAGGTTTTTCTGAAATCATCCTGTTTGTCATTTTTTTATAGCACAATAATACTCCATTACAATCACATACCACCACTCGTTCAGCCATTCCCCTATTTATAGGCATCCCCTCAATTTCCAACTCTTGGTCACTACAAAAGGAGTTGCTATAAATACTTTTGTACAAATAGGTTCTTTTCCTTTTTTTCCTCTCTGTGGGATACAGACCTATCAGTGGCATTGCTGGATCAAAGGGTATGTACACAGTTTTATACCCTTTGGGCATAGTTCCAAATTGCTCTCCAGAATGGTTGGAAGAGTTCATAAATCTACCAACAGTGCTTTAGTGTCCCAGTCTTGCCACATCCATCCATTTCCTTCAAAAAATTAATTCTGTGAAAAAAGAGAATTAACAGTTCATAAAACTTCTATCTTAATCACAGCAAAGAGAATTAATATGCCAGAGATACCCTTCTTTCATTTTGCTAACCAAAAATGTTCAAGGTATGACAATATAGGAGCTATGAAGATACAAACATAACTTTATTTTAAAGCCAGAAGTGTTATTTTAAAAATAACAATACTATTACATAATAATCTTACTTAACATTAATAAGTGATTGCTATTAGTGTTAATAATGGGATGATAGCTTACATGGACATTACAAATTTACAGAGTTCTCATTGTAATCCCATACAGTAGGTAAAACGAGTGTTCTTAGTACTCATTTTACAAAGGAGAAAACTGATTCCCAGAGAGGTGAAGCAGCTGCTTCATGGTCACACAGCTTAGTAAGGGCAGAGCCAGTATTCAAATCTTGGTGTTGGACTCCAACTTCATCACTCTTTCAACTGTATCACAATGCTTCTCTCAATAGTAATGGTATTAGAAAATCAGTCACAGAAAATTAATGCTAAATAGAGAGCAATCTGGAAGACACTAAAACACCAAATTTTCTAAATACAAAAATATAAAAGAAGTTTGATTCTAATAAACATTTAAACCCAAAACATTATTTGGAACTCCTCCATATCAGGGTGAGAAATTTAATTGTGATACAGTACAAGTATCTCTGTATGTTAACTATAAACCATTCATTTCCTCACAGGAAATGTCCTTGGTGAATTATATCCTTAAAAAGTTAAGGGAAGATCAAGTCCAGATGGCTGACTGTGCCCTCAGATCTGCAGGTGAGTTACATACTGAGCAAAGAAAACTGATGACGAGAATTGGCTGCAAACTTGTATATGTTTCTATATCTGTACATAGTACTTCAATGTTTCCATCCTTCATACTTCTCACTAAGTAAAAACATGACTCTCTACCTGGCAGTTTAAGAGGGAACATAAGTTTTTCCAAGGTGGTATGATAAGGGTCGAGGTGTTTACTCTTTTCCTGGCCTATCCTGTGGTGTTTGAGTGACCAGCCACAAGCGGTCTTTTCTCTCTTGGAACTGTGAGGAGGATTTCCTCTCTACCACCACTACGCCAGCACTCCTCCTCAACCCCAGACCGCCACCCAGAACTGTGACCCAGATCCAAGCATGGGCAAAGCAAGAGATTCCTGCCTCAGCAGCAGCAAAGAGATCCCTGCAGTCTTCTTCTGATCAGCTACTTGATTCCCCCTCAGTCCATGGGCCTGAAGCTGAGGACGCAGCCACCTCCCCCGCACCCACGCTCTGAGCTCTGGGCTCTAGAACTGGCTCTGACCTAGCTCCTCTCTCACCGCAAAAACAGACTTTTCCCACTGACCTTCTAAGTTGTCTTTGGTGCTTGTGGATTCAACAGTCTGGAAACTGCCACAGCTGCCTGTGATTCATTCCTCTGAGGCCTGCACGCCCACGCCGAACTGCACTCCTCTCACCCCCCCACTCCAGCACGATATGCCTTTCTGATCAACCACCCAGGCTGTTTTGGGCTGGAAATTTGTTTTACTCTGTCTTTTTATGGGTTCTGCTGCTTCAGAATTTGTTTAGAGCCATTTTTTTACGGGTATTTGGAGGGGTTTGGGGGAGACCTCAATCAAGTCACTGCTTTTAGTCTGCCATCTTGGCTCCGCTCCCATAGAACTCAAAATTTACAGGTCCCTAGAAGTATCTCTGAAAACAGCTATACAAACCCCCAAAGCTTGGGACAGTACATTCTTCACATTGGAAGCAGACTCTTACCTTAAAAAGAGTTTAAAACTCAAGTAGTTGGCTGGGATCATAAGCAAGCAGCGCAAAAGGAGTCAGACTATATTATCTTACTTTGGTGAAAAAGAAGATCAAAATATAAAACCAAAAGAAGACAACAAAGTCAAAGCTCCTACATCCAAAGCCTCCAAGAAAAATACAAATCCATTCCAGGCCTTGGAAGAGCTCAAAAGGGATTTTGAGAAGCAAGTAAGAGAAGTAGAGGAAAAACTGAGAGTGATGCTAAAGGAGACCCAAAAATATACTGAAGAAAATAACACCTTAAAAAATAGCCTAACCCAAATGGCAAAAGAGGTCCAAAAAGCAAAATGAGGGAAAAAATGCCCTAAAAAGAAAAATTGGCCAGATGGAAAAGGAAGTCCAAAAGATTACTGAAGAAAATACTTCCTTAATAGAATAGAACAGAGCAATTGGAAGATAGTGACTTTATGAGAAATCAAGACACAGTAGAACAAATCCAAAAGAATGAAAAATTAGAAAACAATGTGAAATATCTCATTGGAAAAACAACTGACCTGGAAAATAGATCCAGGAGAGAGAACTTAAAAATAATTGGACTATCTGAAAGCCATGATCAAAAAAAGAGCCTAGACATCATCTTTCAAGAAATTATCAAGGAAAACTGCCCTGATATTTCAGAACCAGAGGGCAAAATAGAAATTGAAAGAATCCACCGATCTCCCCCCTGAAAGAGATCCCCAAAGGAAAACTGCTAGGAACATTGTAGCCAAATTCCAGAGTTCCCAGGTCAAGGAGAAAATATTGCAAGCAGCCAGAGAGAAACAATTCAAGTATGGTGGAAACACAATAAGGATAACACAAGATTTAGCAGCTTCCACATTAAGGGACCGCAGGGCATGGAATATAATATTCTAGAGGGCAAAGGAGATAGGATTACAACCAAGAATCACCTACCCAGCAAAACTGAGTATAATCCTTCAGGGGAAAAAATGGTCATTGAGTGAAGTAGAGGACTTCCAAGCATTCTTGATGAAAAGACCAGAGCTGAATAGAAAATTTGACTTTCAAATACAAATTCAAGTGGGACATGAAGAGGTAAACAGGAAAGAGAAATCATAAGAGACTTATTAAAGCTGAACTGTTTACATTCCTGCATGAAAATATATTTATAACTCATGAGGCCTTTGTCAGTATTAGGGTAGTGGGAGGGGAAAAAATTATATGTATGTATAGATAGATAGGTAGAGGGCACAGGGTGAGATGAAGATGAAGGGGTGATAATCTGGAGAATAAAATTAAGGGGTGAGAGAGGATTATACAAGGAGAAGGCGAAAGGGAGAGGTAGAATGGGGTACATTATCTCACACGAAACAGACAAGAAAAGGTTCTTACAATGGAGGGGAAACAGAGGAAGGTGAGAGGAAATGAGGGAATCTTATTCCCATAGGATTTGGCCTAAGGAGGGAATAACACACACACTCAATTGGATATGGAAATCTATCTTACCCTACAGGAAAATAGGGGAGGAAGGGGACAAGAGAGCAGGGGAATGATAGAAGGGCATATGGGGAATGGGGTAATCAGAAAGAAGTACTTCTGAGGAGGGACAGGAGCAAAAGAAAGAATAGAATAAATGGGGGGGCAGGATAGGATTAAGGGAAATAGAATTAGTTTTTTACAACATGTCTACTATGGAAGTGTTTTGCATAACTGCACATGTATGGCCTTTATTGAGTTGCTTGCCTTTTCAATGAGGGTGGGTGAGGTGGGAGGAAGGGAGAAAATTTGGAACCCAAAGCTTTAAAACACATGTTTAAAAAAAATGTTTCCACATGCAACTGGGAAATAAGAAATACAGGAAATGAGGTATTGAAATCTATCCTGCCCTACAGGAAAAAGAAGGGGAAGGGGATGAGAGAAGAGGGGGGAGAAATAGAAGGGAGGGCAGACTAGGGGAAGGGATATTCAGAATGCATGCTATCTTGGGGTGGGGGGAGGGGCAAGATGAGGTAAAAATTTGAAATTCAAAATCTTGTGGAAGTAAATGTTGAAAACTATAAATAAATTTACATATATATATATATATATATAAAAGAGGGAACATAAAAATGAATATGAACTATATGGTAGAAGACAGAAAGGATATTTAGTAGCTTTTTTCTCTTTGAAAGAACTAGGTAGAGTGGAAACCTATATATTTTAAATCAGTCAAGATCCTCCTTCTCACTTGACCTTCAGACTTCCTACCACTGCCACCAGTTGAGAACACAAGAAAAACAAAATCTATTATAAATATACAGCCAATCAAAACAAATTTCCATGTTGGCTATGATAAAAAAAAATTGTCTCATTCTGCATTTTGTGTCCTTCACATCTCTATCAAGAGGAAGGTAGCATGTTTCATCATTAGTCCTTTATAATCCTGCCTTTAGGCTGGTAAGAGGTCAGCAGAATAATATTACATCACATTTATTAGACCATCCCTTGTTCATCCATTCCCCAACTCACAGGGACTGCCTCAGATTTCCATTCTTTACTACCTCAAAAAGAGCTATATTTCTGTACATCCTTAATAGTTTGTTTTGCTTAGGACTAACCCCTCCTTTACTAAACTTTCCTTCTAATTCCCTCTCCTTTTTCTCCCTTTTCTGCCTTCTTCCCTTTCTCCCGCATTTCCCTGTTAAGCAAAATGAATGTGTGTACCCACCTATGGCATATGTGTGTGTGTGTGTGTGTGTGTGTGTGTGTGTGTGTATTTTTCCTTCTTTTGACCAGTTTGGATGAAAGTTAGATTCAACAGAAATGGAGGATAGAATCTTCTGCAATATAAAGATTATTGCTACTAAATTTGGTGGTATTTTTGTTAAACGTCAATTTTTGAAGGTAAATAATTACATTTTTAATTCAACATACAAGTTTGAGTGCTAATTATGTATGAAGCAACATAATATAAAACTTATCAGCTACGCTCTAAGTACCCTCCAGTGAAACTGATCCCTTATACTGTTCCTTTAGGAAACTGAGAACAGAAGAAGGTACATAGCTCATAGCACCACTATTTTGATTCAGTTGACAAAGGGATAGATCTGTACTGCAGAAGGAAAGTTGCAGATCTCTAAGTCTTCAAGATAATGAACTTTTGTCAAATTTTAGAAAGCAGAGGCATAAAATGAGGTTTTAAAAAGCTGAAACTTAGTAGGGTGGAAAACTTTTCTAATGTCCTACTCTGATCCTATCACAGATCTTAAGATTGCTTAGTTTTTCTTGTAAGATACCATCTATAGTAAAGTGATGTAAAAATTATTCTTGCAGTGCTTTTTAGTGGTGGTGTTTTTTTTCTTGATCTTGATATAGCTTGTCATTTATTTCATGAATTGCAAGATTTTAAGAATCTTAATACTTGTTACTATCCTTTGTTAGCCGTTTTAATCAAGGAATTTTTCATCAACCAACCAGTTACTAATATGCACAACTCCATTTTAATTATTATCTCATTTTTCAAACTTTAGAACTGGAGATTGAGTGATCATCACTTGGCTCTGGGCAATAAAAGGTAAATTAGATAGGATTAAGACTTTTTCATATAGTAATTTAAAAGAGCTGTGATTTCACTGGGGTATGGATACTCCCTTCACCAAAACTGCTGACAAATCTACTAAAATTTGCAATTTCCTGAGACCAAACTACTATACTTCTTAATTTCTTTATTAACATTTTCCTTCTCATTTTTAGAATCATACTAATTTATGTGTTTCTGCCTTCTTGTTTTCTAATTTCAGGTGCCTCCATTGTTGAAGCAGGAACTTCTGAGAGTTACAAAAATGATAAAGCAAAACTATATTGGCATGGATGGGATTCTTAAGTTATGAAATGCCTCCTGATATTATTTTTCAGGTAGAGCCAAAATTAAATATATCTTATTCCTCATTCTCCTGAAATTCCTGATTATGGAATCCCCAGTGCTTAAAGCTGGATAAGAAGAAATACTCTAATCACTCCTTTTCTGGAGGCCTGATATAATCCCCCTACCTTTTCACAGATTATGGGATCATAAGGTTTAGACCTTGAAAGGATCTTACAGATCATATCATTCTACAGGCACCACTTTTCTAACCTTCCCCAGCCACTGACTTATCCTCATTTCTAGAAACAATCTCAACGTTCAGTTTCCTCAGGATATCAATTAAATTCTTTCCATTAAAAAAATAATATTGGGTCAAGCTCAATTTAAACAATAGTTTATTTAGATCCCAGTTCGCTTTACAGGTTTCTCATAAAATGATGGTTAAATTGTTAATCCCAGGTCCCTGTACCTCTTAAAGATACAGTAATCCTGTCTCTAGTCTCTGTGAAAGGCTGTTGAAGTTGGTATTATACTCATTATACTAATATTTTTATATTACCAGTCTGCTTGCATGCTAATCCATCATGAAGTTTTTCATCCTCACTGATCTCCATATCCTTCACGCCTCTATTCTTTCCTAGGCCATTACCTTGCATTGGCTATATTCTCTCTTCCCTAACTCAACTCTTGGTGAACAACTTCAACTTTACACTATTCTTCATTCTTGAATCTCTTGCCCTCTCCTTGACTTACCATTGATCACGCCTTGCGAAACTCCAGCATTGCTTCTACCATCCACCTCCTTCATTCCTATTCGTGTGCTCCTGAACAGAAGATTATGAAATTTCATTGACTGGGTCACAAATTCACATGATATAATCTCAGCTGGGCCCTCACCATAATAAGGCAGAAAAATTCTATTCCTCCCTAGTCGATTTGCTATCCCACACACAAACAAAATTAATATAACTGCATTAAGAATTAAAGCAGTCAAATGGGATAAGGGTTTTGTATCCAAGATATGAAAACAATTCCCCTCCCAAACTGATATTTTTGTGATGGTAAATTAGGCCATCTTTTGTCTCGATTCTTACCTAGCCTTAGTCATTGAATGGGCATTGCCTCAGAGAAACTGAGGCCTGGGAAAGGCCAAGTCATCCACTGCATCCCAAGCCATTGCCAGTCATCTTGCCTTTTGTCTTGCCACTGGACTTCAGTGACTCTGGAGAAGAGAGGATGACACTTTGCCATCTCTGCCTCCTTCAATCCAATTCCTACACAAGTCAACAACAATCTGAGTGATGTGCTTTAGCCCTCCCTAGATATCAAACATGGCATTTCCTCATACAGACTGAATTTACCACCTCCATGATGGCATCACTTCACTCTAATCCCTTCACTACTCACCTTGCAAGGTCTACTTCATGTCCTGCTTCCTTCCATGAAGCCTTTCCTATTACATTCTGACTTCTCTATTCTCTAAACTTTTACAGCATTTAGAACATAGTTCATTATTTGATCATCTCAATTATAATTTATATTAATTAGATCATCCTCACTAGAATGTAAACTCCTGATGACAGGAATCTTCTCTTATATTTCTTTTGTATATTTCATAGTACCTAGCCTAGTCTTGGGCATATGATGGGTACTCACTAACACTTACTGTTTTAGAAAGAGGTTAAAGAGGATTATAATTTATATTTTTTTTAGCCTCATGTCCATCCTGGGAAGTGCTGGGCATTTCCAGGTTCTACGGGTCATACTGTAATCAAACTTGCCAGGAAAATCATACCAATGGCAGTTACCATGGAACATATCTCAGAGAAGATTTCTCCCTCAGGAAGTACTGCCAGTGCTCCCAAGGACTTTTCTGTTTATGTAAGCTCTTTTCTACATTTAAAATTCAAATTATTATAAAAGAAAAAGAAAGATGATGAAATGTGCTTTGGGCCTGTAAATACCAGACTATGTAGAGGTACTGTAAGTTACGCAGTAAATCATTGTCACAGTTCGGGAGACATGAATACAAACTGATTTAGCAAATTAAATCAATATTTTAAAATGTGTATTTGTACGTTTTTATACAAATGTATGCTCCCAACAAACACTCAAAAATAAACCTTTTTGTACAGTCGCTATATAAAGTTACATCAATGATTAGCAACAGAAAGAAGAGATGTTAACTTTTTTACATTTTAACTTTGGTAGGATGATACCAACATTGTCCATTATATTGAAGCACAGTTTTATTGCCTCATGATGTGACCTTATTTATACTGTTATAGTGGTTTTGGTCTGCATTCTTCATTTGGCATCACTTCACCTAAGTTTACCCTATGTTTCTTGAATTCTGTACATGTGCCATTACTTATTATATAATGATATTCTATTACACTTATATACCCTATTATTTAGCAATTCTGTAATTAGGCATGTATTTTGCTTTTAGGTTTTCATCATCATGAATATTGCTGTTATAGACATTTTTGGAAACATATGTTTTTATCTGTTGCCAGTAAAGTCCTTTCCAGTAAAGGGCTCTCTGGGTCAAAGGTTATGAACAATATGATAACTTTTTCTTGCATATTTCAAAATTGTTTGCCAGGACAGTTGAACCAATTCACAATTCCACCAGCAATGAAAAAGCTTCTATTCAAATATCCCCTCAAACTGAGTTTTCCAGAATTTTAACATTTCTATTAGCTAATTAAATCTTATTTTAGCCACAGAAGAACATATTACTTAAAATAATTCTTGGTTCAATTAAATTCAAATTAACAAATATTTATTGATTATATACTTAGACACTAGAAAGGTCACTGTCCAAATGGTGCTTACCATCTAGAGGAGGGTATGAGACATATAATAAACAATAAGACATAAGTATATGTTAGAGCAGCAAAGTGTTATATGAAGTCCAAAAAAGAAAAAGGTTTTAATAATTGAGGAAGTAACTAAGGAAGTCTTGATAAAATAGTTTTTATTTGAATTGGGTAGGAATTTAAGGGGGATAACGGCAGGGAAGAACATCCCACACATAGAATAGCACATGTAAAAGCAAAGAGGTGGGAAATTATGAGTAAACAAATGTTGTAATAGTGAACTATCTAGCTAGGGCACGTCTAAAGGAAGGTCATCATGATGGTGAATCAGTTGAATAAAATGACGATGTTTAGTCTGGAGAAGAGACAACTCAGAGGAGGATAAATAACTGTATTCAGGTATTTGAAGGGCTGCCACATGGAAGAGGGATTTGACTTGTTCTGTCTGATTCCATAAAACAAAATTGGGAGTGATAGATAGAAGTTGCAAAGAGGCAAATTTAGGTTTCATGTTAGGAAAAACTTTGTAACTTCAAGCCACCCAGAAGTACAACAGGCTGCCTTTGGAGCCCATTTCCTTATTGGAAATCTTCAAGCCAAGCCCTGACCACTTGTTGGCTATGTAGTGGAGAATTCTATTTCATTTGTGGGTTGTAACAGATAGCTACTTAAAGTTCTTTCCAACTCTAAAATTCTGTCATTTTATAAAATGTGTTGTGTTAGACCTGCTTTTATCACATATATCTAAGTTTTAGGACACATGACTTTATTATGGTAAAATGATTTCATTGTAATAATTAAATATTTCTTATTAAATGTGAGCAATTCAACTAATACACACCTTCTTTTGTGTTATTATATTAGGCACAAATATTAAACTTTGGAATAACAATAAAACACCGCCTTTTTCTTTTTCTCTTCTAAACTAATCTTTATCTTCAAGTACTGAGTAGTGAAAGAAGCATGAAAGAAGGTATATAAGATGCACTGTCACTTTCATTCAGCTGACAAGGGATTAGATGTGCACTAGGGAAATATATTTGTATGCTGTGTGATCCCTAGAGCCCTAGGGTAGGAATATATGTTTTATATTTTGGAAAGTACAGTAAGTAACAAAATTGATTAGGTAACGTGAGACTTAAGTCATAAATAAAATATTTTTATATCATGATACTAACAGATCTAAAAGTGATTTGCCATTTTCTCTATTTGCCACAAGCAAAATGCTTTCAGATATCCATATGAAAAATACAATCTGCCTAATGAAAATACCTACTGTCATTGTTACTGCTAGAAGTGATGTTCTTGTTGCCTTTTGTCCTAACAATTTTTTACTTGTCTCAGGAACTATGAACAAGTGTAAGTGTTCTCTCCACTTCTCCCAGGCAATTACCACATTGTTATAATATTTTGATACCTATGTATCGGCTGTGCTATAGTGTAAACTACTTAAAGTCAAAAATATGTCTTATTTATTTTTGAATCCCTTGTACCACTTAACACAATGCCTAGAAGTTCTCAGATGAAGAAATTAAAGCCATCTATAGTTATATGAAAAAATGCTCTAAATCATTATTCATTACAGAAATGCAAATCAAAACAACTCTGAGGTACCACATCACACCTATCAGATTGGCCAACATGACAGAACAGGAAAATGATAAATGCTGGAGAAGATGTGGGAAAATTGGAACACTAATACATTGTTGGTGGAGTTGTGAAATAATCCAACCATTTTGGAGAACAATTTGGAACTATGCCCAAAGGGCTACAAAAATGTGCATACCCTTTGATCCAGCAATAGCACTTCTAGGGCTCTATCCCAAAGAGATCAAACAAATGGGAAAAGGACCCACATGCACAAAAATATTCATAGCAGCTCTTTTTGTGGTGGCAAAGAATTGGAAATTGAGAGGATGCCCATCAATTGGGGAATGGCTGAGCAAGTTGTGGTATATGAATGTAATGGAATACTATTGTGCTATAAGAAATGAGGAACAGGCTGACTTCAGAAAAACCTGGGAAGACTTATATGGTCTGATGCTGAGTGAAGTGAGCAGAACCAAGAGGAGTTTGTATACAATAGCAGCCACGTTATGCAATGACTAAGAATGTTAAACTGAACCCTTCTCAGCATTATGAGGATCTAAGACATCTCCAGAGGCCTCGGGATGGAAAATGCTGTCCACATCCAAAGAAAGAACTATGGAAGTCGAATCGCTCTCACTTATTTTTACCTTCAGTTGAGTTTTGTTTCCTCTTTCTGATGGTTCCTCCTATTGGTTTTAATTTTTACTTACAACTTCACTAATGTGAAAATATGTTTAATGGGTATGTAAATGTAAAGCCTATGTCAGATTGTGCGCTGTCTTGGGGAGGGTGGGGGGGGAGGAAAAGGGAGAAAAACTTTTCAACTCAAAAGCATATGGAAAAAAAAATTTAAAAAAATTTTCCACCCCAAAAAAACCCCCCACACAATGCCTAGAACATGGTATCTGACAAACTACAGTGCGTTTAATTTGAATCCAATATACCTAATTTGATACTGTCCACCCAATAAGTGTTTAGAGAGTTGTTGCTACTTGAACAAAGAAGTTCGATCATTTGGGTGAAGCAGTCTTTCACATAGTCCTTCATCTCCTAATTTCCATGTCTTTCACATTTTTAGGGACTCAAAAATGAAAGTTAAGGAAAAGAAATCTTCCTTGGTCAGTTTGTGTATAACAAAAAAGGGACCACTGTTCAGACATTTCACCTCCAGGGGTAATGAGAGACCTGGGCAAAGATAATTAGACGAAAATATGTTTCTTTCCTGGGAAGGGATTTATTTGGATTTAATTCTAACAAAAGCGTATACCAATAGGAAGTGGATGAAGAAAAGCCTAAGTCATATCAAATCTTGTAAATAAGGCTTCAAAAACACGATAATAAAAGTCATTAGGCTATTTTTAGAATATTCAGCCAAAAATGAACATATGTATATGCTTGAATGTGTGTGTATGAAGTCTATTAAGGAGAATTATATGGAGGAATCTGACTGCCTGCATTCTATTCCTCTTCTTCTTGTCTTGTATGATCTGTGTGGGAATGAAGGTAGGCTGGGGAACATCTCTTCACTTCTCTGTAGTTCGTTGTTTCCATCTGTGAAATGATGATTAAAAAATATTCATTGGGGGCAGAGGTGGCGCAGTGGATAGAACACTGGCCCTGAAGTGAGGAGGACCCAAGTTCAAATGTGGCCTCAGACCAAACACTTGACACTTACTAGCTGTGCAACCCTGGGCAAGTCACTTAACCCCAATTGCCTTAAAAAAATAAAAATAAAAAATACTCATGTCAGAAAGGAATGAAGAAGCTTAATTCACAATTACTTATGAAGTACATTCATATTCTTTAAGATGGGCTTAACTATAAAATATTAATTTGGATTTATATTTTCTTTATTTTTAGAATGGAGTTTCTAAATCCTTATCATATGTGAAACTGAAAATTCTGAACAATTGGGGCCACTCTAAATATACATGCTTATATCGATTCAGAGTCCATGGAAAGCCAGAAAAGGATGGCTTAGGAGTCTCCTAAAAAGAACAAGGGACTGACTGTGGTGATATAAAATGGCATATCTACCAAGTCAAAACAGCCAAAGCCCCTGGAATCAAGTAAATGGGATGAAAGCTTCAAAGAAAATACTTCACACTTGCATTAAAGTAATAAGCAAAGTTGGTTTTCTACAGTTAGTATGAATATTGCTTATAAAAATGTTTGGAAATTAACTTCTATCAGTTTGCTTGTTTTTTACACTCAAAAACCACCTCCCTCTCTTTCCCTACTTCATTTGATGTCTATTTCTTCCTGTAACTCCCTGAACTTCTCCTCTAAGAATTTAGATGCTATACCATTTGCTGCATATGTGTTTAGTAATGATACTACTTCATTGTCTATGGTGCTTTTTAGCAAGATATAGCTTCCTTCCTTATCTCTTTTGATAAATCTATTTTTGCTTTTTGCTTTGTCTGAGATCAGGATTGCTAACCCAGCTTTTTTTTTGCGCTGAAGCATAATCCATTCTACTCCAGCCTTTTACCTTTACCCTGTGTGTGTTCCTCTGTTTCAAATGTGTTTCCTGTAAATAACACATTATAGGATTATGGTTTTCAATCCATTCTGCTATCTGCTTCTGTTTTATGGGAGTTCATCCCATTCACAGTTATGGGTACTATCTGTGTCTTTCTCTTCATCCTATTTCCCCCCTCCCATTTATACTTTTCTTTCTCATTTCTCCCTTTCCCTCCTCACTAGTGTTTTGCTTTTGACCACTGCCTCCCTCAGTCCCACCTCCCTTCTCTTATCCCCCTCTCTTTTCTTCCCCTTTACCCTTACTACTTCTTCCCTCCCTTCTATCCTCCCTCCCTTTCCTTTCCCCCTGATTACTTTATTCCCTCCGTGAGCCAAATCTGATGAGAGTAAGGTTCAAACAATGCTCATCTCCCTTCCTTCTTTCCCTCTACTGTAATGGGTTTTTGTGCCTTTTCCTGTAACATAATTTACCCATGTCTGCCTCCTCCTTTCATTTTCTCCCAGTACATTCCCTTAGATCAGATTAATCCACTTACTTAGATCCATTTAACTCACTTGATTAGATATTTTTTATCATTACATCAAAATCAATTTATACCCACCCCCTCTATGTATACTCCTTTAAAGTGGTGTAATAATGGTACAATTTTCAAGAGTTACAAGTGTCATCTTCCCTTGCAGGGATGTAAACAATTTGTCCTTATTAATAACATGTTATTTTTTACTGACCCGTTTACCCTTTTATCTCTCTCTTGAGTCTTGTATTTGAAGATCAAATTTTCTGTTGCTCTCTGGTCTTTATATCAGGAAGGTTTGGAAGTCCCCTATTTCATTGAATGTCCATCTCTTCCCCTGAAAAATCATGCTCATTTTCGCTGGGTAGCTGATCCTTGGTTGTAATCCAAGCTCCTTTAGTTATGGAATATTGTATTCCACACCCTATGATCTTTTAATGTAGAAGCTGCAAGGTCCTGTGGAAACCTGACTGTGGTTCCATGATATTTCAATTGTTTCTGGCTGCTTGCAGTATTTTCTCTTTGACCTGGTAATTTTGGAATTTGGCTACTATATTCCTTGTTGTTTTCAATTTGGGATCTCTTTCAGGAGGTGATCGGTGGTTTCTTTCTATGGCTATTTTACCCTCTGATTCTAGGACCTCAGGCAGTTTTCCTTGATGATTTCCTGAAAGATGCTGTCCAGGCTCTTTTTTTCATCATGGTTTTCAGTTAGACCAATAATTTTTAAATTGTCTCTCCTGGATCTATTTTCCAAGTCAGTTGTTTTACCAATGAGGTAGTTTACATTTTCATCTATTTGTTCGTTCTTTTGTTTCTATTTGACTGATTCTTGTTCTCTCACAGAGTCAATAGCTTCCACTTGCCCAATTCTAATTTTTAACAAATTGTTTTCTTCTATTAGATTTTGTATCTCCTTCCCTATTTGGCCAATTATATTTTTTTAGGGACTTGTTTTCTTCAGTGTACTTTTTTCCCAGTTGGCCAACTGTATTTTTTAAAGATTTGTTTTCTACAGGTAATTTTTGTCCTTCCTTTTCCAAGATATTGACTCTCTCTTACATACCTCTCATTTCTTTTCTTAATTTTTCTTCTACCTCTCTTATTTGACTTTTAAAATCCTTCTTGAGCTCTTCCAAGAAGGCTTTTTAGGCTTCAGACCAGTTCATATTCCCTTTTGAAGTTCCAGATGTGAGTTTGTTGACAATGTCCTCCTCAGAATTTCTACCTTGATCTACATTATTCCCATAATAAGAATCTATTTTACGTTTCTTTTTGCTCATGGTGTTTGCTTATTTCCTGGCCTTTAAAAAGATTGAGTCCTCTTGCTGGGGAGCAGGGGGCACTGACCCAAGCTTCTTGTGTTGGAAGCCCAGGGCCCAGTCACCGGCTTTGTGTGCTGGGGCCTCCGTCACTGGCAGTTGGAGGCTATAGGGTTCTGGCAGCTTACCTGGTGTTGAGCTGGAATCAGCAACACTGGAATTCTAGGGGTAGGACTGGGTAGTCTGGCTCCTGGAGGTTGCCTGCCCACCTAGGCCTTTCCTAACTTTCACTTTTTTGGCTCCTTTCTGATGGATGTTTCGCTGCTGTGGGATTTTTCTCTGCCTGGGGGAAACCCTTGGAGTGCTTCCCAGAGTTTTGTTGAGGCACTGGGAGACTTGGTTGCTGTAGAAAGCCGAGGCATATGATGGTTTCTGAGCTGGTTTCCACTGATTTCCCTGCCCTTACTGAGGCACTCAAGGGTCCTGGTGTTGGTGTTTGCCTGCTCCACCACCTGGGGTGCTGAGGTGGGGCTTTCTGCTAGCTTGCTGGGATACCTCCCATTCTGTACTGCTCCCTCCTCCAAGGCAAGAGGGGCCTTTCCTGTTAATTCCTCAAGCTACCTGGACTACTGGACTGCTGTACCCCATCATTCTGCTAGTTCAGCTGTTCCAGGGTTTTACTTGGGGTGGTATTTTCTGGGCTTTCAGAAAAGGTTAATAAGGGAGGGTGTAGAAGTAACCTGGAAAATATTTGTAGCAAATTGATCTGATAAAGGCCTCACATTGAAGATATATAAGGATTTGGTTCAAATTTATAAAACAGCTATTCCCCAATATGGATATGAACACAGAATTTTTTCTTCTGATTATAGGCTTTTAAAAAAAAATTTATTTTTAACATGTGTTTTTAAAACTTTGGGTTACAAATTTTCTCCCTTCCTCCCTCCCTACTCACCCTCATTGAAAAGGCAAGCATCTTGATACTGGTTATAGATGTGTAGTCATACAAAACACTTCCATAGTAGTCCTGTTGTGAAAAACTAAGTATAGTTCACTTCATCCTATCCTACCCCCCATTTTATTCTATTCTCTCTTTTGACCCTGTCCCTCCTCAGAAGTGTTTGCTTTTGATTATCCCCTCCCCCAATCTGCCCTCCCCTCTATCAACCCCCTGCTCTCTTGTCCCCTTCCCCCCTTATTTTCCTGTAGGGTAAGATAGATTTCCATACCCCATTGTGTATGTTTTTCCCTCCTTAAGCCAAATCCTATGAGACTAAGATTCACTCATTCCCTCTCACCATCCCCCATTTCCCCTCCACTGTAAAAGCCTTTTCTTGTCTGTTTCATGTGAGATAATTTACCCCCTTCTACTTCTCCCTTTCTCCTTCTCCCAGTATAATCCTCTCTCACCCCTTAATTTTATTTTCCAAGTTATCACCCCTTCATCTTCAACTAACCCTGTGCCCTCTATCTATCTACACATACATGTAATTTTTTTCCCCCTCTCACTACCCTGATACTGACAAAGGACTCAAGAGTTACAAAATATCATCTTTCCCTGCAGGAATGTAAACAGTTCAACCTTAATAAGTCTGTTATAATTTCTCTTTCCTGTTTACCTCTTCCATGTTTCACTTGAGTCTTGTATTTGAAAATCAAATTTTATATTCAGCTCTAGAATACTTGAAAGTCCCTTATTTCATTTTTTCCCCTGAAGGATTATACTCAGTTCTGCTGGGTAGGTGATTCTTGGTTGTAATCCTATCTCCTTTGCCCTCCGGAATATCATACTCCATGCCCTCTGGACCCTTAATGTAGAAGCTGCTAAATCTTGTGTTATCCTGATTGTGTTTCCACAGTACTTGAATTGTTTCTTTCTGGCTGCTTGCAATATCTTCTTGACCTGGGAATTCTGGAATTTGGCTACAATATTCCTAGCAGTTTTACTTTGGGGATCTCCTTCAGGAGGTGATTGGTGGATTCTTTCCATTTCTATTTTGCCCTCTGGTTCTAAAATATCAGGGCAGTTTTCCTTGATAATTTCTTGAAAGATGATGTCTAGGCTTTTTTTTGATCATGGCTTTCAAACAGTCCATTAATTTTTCAGTTCTCTCTCCTGGATCTATTTTCCAGGTCAGTTTTTTCCAATGAGATATTTCACATTGTCTTCTATTTTTTCATTCTTTTGGATTAGTGTTACAGTGCCTTGATTTCTCAAATAGTCACTAGCTTCCCATTTCTCCATTCTAATTTTTAAGGAAGTATTTTCTTCAGTAAGCTTTTGGACTTCCTTTTCCATTTGGCCAATTTTGCTTTTTTAGGGCATTCTTCTCCTCATTAGCTTCTTGGACCTCTTTTGCCATTTGGGTTAGGCTATTTTTTAAGGTGTTATTTTCTTCAGTATTTTTTTGGGTCTCCTTTAGCATCACTCTCAGTTTTTCCTCTACTTCTCTTACTTGCTTCTCAAAATCCTTTTTGAGCTCTTCCATGGTCTGGGACCAATTCATATTTTTCTTGGAGGCTTTGGATGTAGGAGCTTTGGCTTCATTGTCTTCTTCTGGTTGTATGTTTTGATCTTCTTTGTCACCAAAGTCAGATAATATAGTCTGACTCTTTTTGCGCTGCTTGCTCATGATCCCAGCCAATTACGTGAGTTATAAACTCTTTGTTAAGGTAGGAGTCTGTTTCCATTGTGGAGAATGTACTGTCCCAAGCTTCAGGGGTCTTGTGCAGCTGTTTTCAAAGATACTTCTAGGGACCTGAAAATTTTCAGTTCTTCCAAGGTGGCATGATCAAGGACGAGGTGTTTACTCCTTTCCTGGCCTGTGCTCTGGTCTATGAGTGACCACAAGCACTCTTTTCTGTCTTGGAACTGTGAGGATTTTGTCTGCACAGCCACTACGAGCTCAACCATGCCAGCATTCCTCCTTATCCCAGAACTGCCACCCAGAACTGTGACTCGGATCCAAGCACGGGCAAAGCAAGAGAATCCTGCACCAGCGGAGAACCCTGCAATCCCCTCTAATCAGCCAATCAATTACCCCTCAGTCTGTGGGCCCGAAGCTCAGGAGGCAGCCGCCACCCCAGGGCCCAGCTCAGGGAATGAGGCTGAAACTGCCACCCTTCTCTCTAACTATAGACACAGACTTTTCCCACTGACCTTCTAACCTGTGTTTGGTGTTCATGGGTTGAGAAGTGTGGAAACTAACACAGCTGCCTGTGATTCACTCTTCTGAGGCCTGCCAGGTTCACTGTGGTCTGTGTGCCCACGCCAAACCGCGTCCCCTTCCACACCTGCACGATATACCTTTCTGACTAACCATCCAGGCTGTCTTTGCCTGGAAATTTGTTTCACTCTGTATTTTTGTGGGTTCTGCTGCTTTAGAATTTGCTTAGAGCCATTTTTTATAGGTATTTGGAGGGTTTGGGGAGAGTTCAAGCAAGTCACTGCCTTTATTCTGTCATCTTGACTCCGTCCCCATAGAACTTTTTAAAGGAAAAAATTAAAGTAATTGACAAACTTGGGAAAATGCTCCACATAACTAACAATTAGAAAGATGCAAATTAAAGCAACTCCAGGGTTCTACACACACCCATCAAACTTGAAATGGGAAAACTGGGACTGGAATTGCTTCAGCCATTTAAGAATACAATTTGGAATTATGTCTCCCAACATCACTAAAGTATACATACTCTTTGACCCAGCAATAAAATTACCAGGTACATACCCCTAAAAAGAAAAAAATAAATAAGAAAAGTACCTAATCACATTTACAAAAATATTTATAGCAGTTCTTTTGGTATAACAAAGAACAGGAAACTAAAGGGATGCCAATCAGGGAATGGTTAAAACAAATTATGGTATAGGAATGTAATGGAATATAATTGTGCTATTAGAAAAGACAAAATAAGTAATTTTGGGGAAATCTGGGTAGAACTGTATGAACTGCTATTGAGAAAAATGAGCAGAAGGAGAACAATTTCTACAATAACAACATTTTAAAGAAAAGCAACTCTGAAAGACTTTAGTACTTTGACAGATGTAATCACCAATTACATTTTCTGAGTAATGCTACCTCACTCTTGACAAATGTCTCAGGATGCAGAACAAGATATACATTTTTGGACAGAGCCAACATGGAAATTTGTTTTCCTTGATTATGCATATTTATTATGGTTTTTTTTCCTTTTTTGTTTCCAGTGGAGGTGGATGAGAGGAAGAAGAGGGATAAGTCTGGGCAGAAAATAAAGAAAAGTGGGTTCACTGAAGCATTTTTTTAATGCAGAGAATGGAAGGAAGCCCAGAAAGAAGAGACAAGCAGAACAGTTTTGAAAGCTACAGTCTGAATTTACTATATACTTAAAAAGAAAAGCAAGCTATCCATAACATAGATCTGCAGTTTCATGTATAATCTTATTTTTCTATTCTACCAAAATCTGGAAATGCCAATGTTGTTCACTGTTAAGAATAAAAAATATTGTCTCTAGCTCTCTTCAGAGTATAACTCAAGCACAAACTCTTATGAGGCCTTTCCTTATTCCCGTAGTTGCTAGTGCTTCTTCCTATCCAATTCTTGCTTTGCAATTACCTTTGATTTACTTTGCATATAGTTTGTATCTTCCATGCATACATGTTTCTCATATCCCCTGTATCTCCTCCCTCCTCCCCCACTCTGTTAGAATGTAAGCTCTCTGAGGACAAGGGTCACTTAATTTTTGTCTTTGTGTCCTCAATGTTAGCACAATGCCTGGCACATATAAGATACTTTATAAATACTGGCTGACTCATTAGAGAGAGACAGAGACAGAGATACACACAGAAAAAGACAGACAGAGAAGAGGAGAATGACAATGATGACAACTGTGACGGCAAGCTTCTGGAGGAGATTGGAGGGATGGAATTAAGGGTACAATTAGAAAGGCTGATCTTTGCAAAGACAGGGACCACCTATTTGGCTAAATGACTGAATTTTGTAATTAAGAGATCATTGGTAACTTTGGAGATCAAAAGCCAGATTGCAAAGGGTTAAAAACTAAGTGAGAAGAAAGGAAGTAGAGACTAATATAGACAGATTTTTCTAGGAGTTTGACTGTGAAAAGGAAGAAAGATGAAGGATGGTCACTTGAGAAAATGTTAACAGTGAAGGGAGAGGTTTTTAAAAGGATAGGGGAAACCTGGGCATGTTTGTAGGCAGTGGGAAATGAGTCAGTAGATGGGGAGAGACTGAAGATTAAACAGTGTCTAATTTAGAGTGTGAGTGCAATATATCAGAAGAAAGAAGTATGTATGTGATCAAGTGTATGGTGTTGGTGAGAAGGGGCATATTTTGTGTGGCTATACATATTCATAATAAGTATTTTTTTAACCTCAATAGATGCTCCTTTTTCTAAGTAATGTTTGAGGTAAAGCCTCATTTGTATGATTATTTCTCAACTTAATTTTCTGAACCATCATCCTGTTCCTACCTACAAAGTATAAGCGTCTCTCAAAACCCTATCCTGGGTACTCTTCTCTGTCTCATTCTTTTGGTAATCTCATCATCTCCTAGGGAGTTCAATGATCATTCCTATATAGGTGATTCTGAAATCTATACATTCTCTTAATCTCTCTCTGGAACTCTAGTCCAGAGGTTTTTTTTTCTCTTATTTTATCCAGAAGTGTAACCATAAGAGCCTTTGTCAAATACCTGGCTAAAATCTAGATATACTGGGTCTTCAGTATTTCCCTCATAAACCAAGCTACTAATGTTTTCAAGAAAAAATTAAATAACTTTGACAGAAGTTGTACTTAGAATGATTCACATTTGCTACTGCTTTCCTTTCTAAGAACTCAAAAAGTATTTGTTTTAATAACTCATCTTAGAATCTTGTTAGACCTAAATTTTATGTCAAGGCAAATGGTCTGTAGTTTCTTGAGTATTCTTCTTGGTTTCTGAAAATTGCAACATTTGTTATATTCAATCCTTCTGAATGACTCCCTTTCTCCCCAATTAGATCCTCAACAGAGGTTCAGCAATAAAGTCTACAAGTTAATTCCCTAATTCCCTAGAGGTCATTCAAAATGCTATGACACTTACTACATACTTGCCTGTCTTGGATCTCAGTTTCCTCCTAATCATACTTTTCCTACTCTTTATCAACTGAAGCTTAGTACTTTTGACAAAGAAGATAAATATAAGAGTTGAATGATTGTTAACATTGCAACCTTTTTCACCAAGCAGAGAAGTCCTATCCCTTCCTTTGCCTCCTTGCTCTGAATATAATTTAAAAAGCCCTTTTCATTTGCCTTAGATTTTTTTTAATCTTTGATATTTTCTATCTGTCTTATAAAGCTTGTTCTATACCTTCCTAACATTTTTACAGATATGTGGTCTATCCCCATCTCCTTCCAGTTTCCAAGTCTTGCTGATCTGAGATGCATATCATCTCCCAAATCACTTGCCTATTCTCCATTCGCACAGCACCCACCCTGCTTCGGACCCTTGTCATCTCTTGCCTGAACGATCACAACAGCATTCAAAACTTGATCTCTCCAATTTCTGATTCATCTTCCACAGAACTGCCCAATTGATATTCTTAAAAAAAAACATATCTAACTACATCATACCCCTACTCAAAAAGCATAAATGGTTCCCTATTGCCTCTATGATAAAATTACAAAATCCACAAGCTAACAATAAAAGCCCTCCACAATACCACTTCCACCATAATTCGTCTTATTTCATATTACTTTCCATGCACTTTTTCTTCATTCTATTTCCTAAAGTATGTGGAAAAACCACTGTATGTCTCTTTAAAAAAACTTAGTTATATTTTGGTTTGGTCACTTTCAAAGTATTCAGAAAAAGAAAAAAAGCCATGGATCCTTAAGCTGAACAGGTTTGGATACAAAGAAGAGAAATTTTAGAAAAGATACTTAAAAATAAATGACTTAGCTTTTTAATTGTTCAAATATGAATAGCTGTCATCCATTATTTCATTAAACAAATACTTGAGTGACAAAAACATGTTTGCTGAATTTAACTGTGAATATCCATTCTTAACCTTTGACATTATTTTTAATACTTTTGTGTAAAAGTATTAAATTTCCTACCCTGATTAAGAAATATAAGCATCACCTTTGATGCGTGTATTTCCCTCAAGAATTTTTTCAGCATTACTTTAACAAGGCTGCAAATAGTTTGCCCTAGACACTAGAGAATAAAAGCAAGTCCTTGCAAAAATGGTGTTAGTCATAGGCTGCTTATTTTCTCACACCTGCATAAATATCCTTATTAGCAGAGTACATAGGCACTTATGAAAAAGGTCAGTACCCTAACACCAAATTTTACATTTTGACCACAGAATAACCTTCAACGTAATATGTTTCAACCTGAAATTCAAGGTTAGGAAATGTTCTTGTACAATAAACAAACATTAACAGCATGTGGATTGTTCCCAAGATCATTCTGTGATTCAGCTACAAACCCCTGTGGTTGTAATCAGGACTATTTACCTCTAACCAGCTTCACTGAGAATAACATTAAGACACTGAATACTGAAAACAACATGTCATGTGTTAATCACAATCAAAAGTAACATCTCATTTTCTATAACACATAAGAGACCCATCCCCTTTCCTTCTCACTAACATGAAGTCTAGTTCTAAAGATGAATCAAAAATATCTATATCATTTTTACTTTGTCTCTGATGAAATGACAGAAAATAATACTTTTTTTGTGAAGATAATTCCATCTCCACTTAGGATCAACCTTGTCCTGCCCTCCAGCTCTGGGCTTAAATCGGCCAGGTTTTATCTTGAGAGCAGACCTCCAAATTCCTCTCTTTTTTGCATGTCTTATATCAACACCTAGAATTCTATCTAGAATTACAGTTTCCAACTGGGTCTCCAGAAATTTGGGTAAGAGGGACCACTAGCATTTACTGGGGAGAAGATAGGCTTTATTCTATCCCACAAAAAACAGAGAAAACATAAAGGCCTCACAAGAACCTATAGATAAATGCAGAAAACACATCAAGGAGGCATAATAGTTTATAAACAATCAATACAATTCTTTTCTTTCTCTAGTTTGTCCTATTTTCCCCATGGGCCCAAAACTATACTTAGTTCAGTCCCAAAATTTGGACTCCCACAGTTTGGAAATTGGAGCAGTGGAATAACTCCCTATCATGCAAATGAATCTTACTTTTGAAAGGCTACTGTCATTCTGTAGTTTGGCTTCCCTTGGAAAGAGAATGCCCTTTGGGATCCTAAACAGGTAATGCCACAACATCCTAGCAAAGTCCCTCTTTCAGTCCACAAAGAATTGTGCTAACAATCTGCCTTATAGTAATTCTCTGAGGGGCTGATACTCCCCCAGAAGGCAAAGGCCTTGAGACTGCTAAGCAGGTCACACCCCTTCCCTACACACTTAAGAATTACATAAATATTATTATAGAACACTCATTTTAAAAATAATGATTTAAATAACCACAGGGATATTAATTGCTGATGGTTAGGCCCCACCAATAAGATACAAATGACACTACCTAAATTAATTTACAGATTCAATGCTATATCAATCAAATTTCTATGGAGTTACTTCATACAGCTAGACAAAATAACATTTATTTGGAGGAATAAAAGGTCTAGAAATTCTAGGGAGATAATGAAAAAAACTAGAAATGAATGGACAATAGCTCTTTCAGACCTCAAATTATATTATAAATCAGTAATCAGAAAAACTATTTGACATTGATTAGAAAATAGAAAACTAGATCAATGGAACAGATTAGATAAGGAAAAATCAGAAACAATTTAACTCAACAGCCCAATATATTCAATAAACTCAAGAACACACATTACCTAGGAAAAGAACTCTGTAAGAATTGGTATAAAAACTGGAAACAGGTTGGGAAGAATTTTATACCATACACCACAATAAACTCAATGTGTGAGGCAACAATAAAAGCCATAAAATCTTTTAAAAATTAAAAGTGATTGAGTCAAGATATGATTCATAATGATGACTAAGGGGAAATGTATTTCCTAGGCAAGGGTTAGAGATAAAATGGGTAATTTCAATTACATAAAGGGGAAGAGAACAGGCATTTGTATAGCACTAGCTATGTGCTAGGCACTGTGCTAAGTGCTTTTACAAACATTATTTCATTTGATACTCACAAAATACTGTGAGGTAGGTGCTGTTATTATCCCCATTTTACAGTTGAAGAAACCAAGGCAAAGAGAGGTAGTAAAA